TGTGCATTAACTATATGAAACCAGAAAGTCAAATCTAAATTTCTGAATTCTGTCAACATATTTATATACTATTAGAAACTAATAAACAGTTAGCAGCATCCACTCTATATCCATATTTAGGTAACCCTAACTGTTAGTATACAATCTACACGAACCAACAGTTTCAATGCTACTATTCAGTAGAACCTTGTTAACATGCTCATTAACGCTCGAATTTTACGATACTTTAAAGGAAAAATGCCCCCTCCGCCCCACGATGGGTCTGCGATTAGTTCGAAGGATTAAAACGCTCATATGTGGGATTCGATCCTTGTTGTTAGCATGCTACAGATAGCCCATTTTGTAGCTTTTTGCATAACAACGAACAAACACACATCCTGGAAAATCATAAACCAAAATGTTTATTATATCGTATATTTTCTAAAAAAACTTTCAATTACTACATCCATATCGCCTTCCGGTTTTAATTTATCCTTAGATAAATCTACCTGTTACATACCCAGACCACCTAAATTACTACATCCATATCGATTTCCCGGTTTTAATTTATCCTTAGATAAATCTACCTGTTACATACCCAGACCACCTAAATTACTACATCCATATCGCCTTCCCAGTTTTAATTTATCCCTAGATAAATCTACCTGTTACATACCCAGACCACCTAAATTACTACATCCATAACGATTTCCCGGTTTTAATTTATCCTTAGATAAATCTACCTGTTACATGCCCAGACCACCTAAATTACTACATCCATATCGATTTCCCGGTTTTAATTTATCCTTAGATAAATCTACCTGTTACATACCCAGACCACCTAAATTACTACATCCATATCGCCTTCCCGGTTTTAATTTATCCTTAGATAAATCTACCTGTTACATACCCAGACCACCTACATTTTACAGCACGTTAAACCTTAGGAATAACGTCAACTATAAAAGTATGAAGATTTTAAAAAATTAAGCTCAAAAAGTGACATTTGAAACAGTTATAAATGTCATTGTAGCGATGCCTGGCATGGTTTTGTGGTTAGAGGATTCGACTCGTAATCTGTGGGGGCATTATAATATGCTGGTCAATCCCACCTTTCGTTGAAAAAAGAGAAGCCCCAGAGTTGGCGGTAGGTGGTGTTGGCTAGTTGCCTTCTCTCTATCTATCACTTCAAAATTAGAGACGACTAACGCAGATAGCCCTCGAGTAGCTTCTTTGCGCGAAATTCAAGAAACAATAATCAAACAAAGTCATTGTAGTGGGTTTTAATTTCAAGAACTACGATTCGAAAAAGAAATTATTAAAGACTGATATAAATATCGAAGCGTACAGAAATTCGTGTTTGAAATAATAGATATCTAATACTCTTTTTATTTAATGGAGTTATAAGTACTGATCAAAATTAAGTAAAGTATACAGATCAGAACTGAAACAATTTCATATAGCATATACATTAATGAAGATTAACGGTTGTCTCATATTGACTAGAAACTCTTAATTTAGTAACCAGTCAACCAGAAAACAAAACGTCTAATAATTATACTAAGGTGTCTACCCTCACTCTTATAGCGATTTCCATGAGGTTCGGCCAACTCACGAGATCTAAGTTAATTCTAAATCCATACACTAAGTCAAACATAGAGCATATTCTTCACACTTGCATGGCTAGGCTATAACCAGGCTTTAACGTTTGTACAATCTTATATATAGGCTCAATAGAATTTGACATAAAATACGGATCTGTTGATGTATTGAATACAGTTCAGGTTTAATGGTTGAAATTACTGTAACTGGATGCACTGAAACGCATGCCTGCAAAATACATAAAAAAGTACTGATGGAAATGGGAAAAATGGGAAGAAAATCGTTAAAGATAGAAGAAATTGTATCAAAAACGCACTGGCAAAAACATACCTACATGGAGTACGGACACAAGCACTCATGTATATATATATATAACCATAAAATCCGCAATTAAATATAGATTTTAAAAATTACTTTCTTGTTTTAAAATCCTTATGATCTTGCTTTGTGTTCTTTGATGACTCACAACCATGAGTAGAGTTAAGACATAGTTTAATTACGTCTCTTCCTTGTTGGGCATTTTGAATTCACAACTTTATAGATGAGACTCTCAATGAATCATTCTGTGTACACGAGAATCTTATTTTCTAGCTCTCGAATTTACTTGTCCAACGTTTATCTAAATTTTTGTTTAAACAAGTATAGATTGGTTGACTATTCTCCGATTAGATAAAATGTTAAAACAGCACTATGTATTATGGAAAACTTCTACTTGTATAAAGTCAAACGTTCATAGGAAACCGAACTCACGTCATTCTGACAGCAGAGTAACGTAATCATACCTATTGAATTGCACATGCTCCTAATTTTTATTGATTTATGATAAGAAATGTTTATATTAAATGTTAATTAACAAAATGTGATGTTAAAGTAAATAAATAATATGATGTTAAAAAACCCTTACCCTAATTCTGATGTGTTACACATAAATAAAATTAATCAAAAATTAAACTTAACCAACTTAATCCAGTTTACATCGTAATAGCTGTTGTCGAGCAGTTTGTTAATAATAAGTAGCATTTCAACCCTTGTAATGTCTGAATAGTTTTGGCATTGGGCGAAAGACCACGTCAGCACTGGATATATCAGATATGGCATGGTTATAATGTTATTATACACTCTTCTTTATTTTAACCCTGAAGTTCTTTTTATTAATTAATTGTCCATTTTCCGTTTGTGACATTTTTATTTGCTTTATGAATTATATCTAAGTTTGTTTTGAAAGATTTGGAAAATTTGTTGCTTTTGTACAAAGACTTGCAATCAGATTTTGGTGTTCATGAGCTTTCGAGTTGCTAATATGAGGCATAGTTTTTTAATAGGTGTTTCAATCATGGTTGAGCAACGAGTGCCACAGTAGCAACTGATATTTCAGATCAAGATAGAGTGTTAAGTATAGCATATCACATTAAAATGTGTTCACTTATATTCATAGGAAATGAGACAAAAGACAACTGTTGTTGTATCTAGCATAACAATGGAGAGATCAATTTAAGACCGAATGTTTCTTGTGAGCTACTTCTTCTTACGACCTTAATCCAGTTCTGGTATGGTGTCGGCCGCTCGGGTCTTCCTTTTCCATAGGTTATGGTCCTTTCCATCATTTCTAATTGCACCCACCTCTCCCATATTCCTGTCCACCATGACTCTCTATCTTCCTCTACTTCTTCGTCCCTCCACTGGCATTTCCAATGCTCTTCTCACTGCCCATCCTTCTTCACTTCTTATTACGTGTCCAAACCATTTCAGTCTTCCATCCCTTGCTTTTTTTGTCATCTTATAAACTCTAACTCTTTTTCTGATGTCATAACTCATTATTCTCTCTTTCTCAAAGATATTCCCAGCATCCATTTTAACATTCTCGTCTTTCTAAAATACCCTCTCCCTTTTTTTCTTATGGCCCAAGTTTCTGCTCCATTAAGCAGAACTCTTCACGATGTATATTTCTCTCACATCTCTTTTAGCTTGTTCTCATGACTTAACTGTCCTATGTATTGCCTGCTCTTCTTCCTCTAGAAGTTTCTTGGGATTAATGTGTTTTCCAAGACGCACGTGATCCTATTCTTGTAGGTTATTGATTAGTATTTGTATATAATTTTGCAAGAAACATGTGTTCGCTGAGGCATCTTTGTGATACTGGAACGCTAAGTTACTTTAATTTTATAAGTTTTGAGTTTCATTAAACATATTACTATGCATATACCGTTTGTCTTACTTTATATACATATAGACACACATGCGGCCTTTACACAAAATAAGGTGATACTATCTTCCTTATTTTTCGTCACTCTCTTTATAATACTAAACTATTAAAAGGTCAGTTTTCTTTCAATGAAAGTTCCACTGGCTCTTTAAAACCTAATTACAGTCTTATAAATCGGTATAACGAGAATGACGCCTGTTGATTGGACACAGATGGTAGACTCTTCTATGTGACTGTTGCCATTCAAGAGTACTGACCCCACTTCCTCTGAGGTCAAGGGAGAGACGTCACGCCCCATTGATAGTCTCCGCCATGTTTGGCTATCCTATTTCACCGTAAGAGCAGGCTATGAGAGGTAGGTTGGACTCGTTGATATGGTGGAGGGTAGGGGAAGGAGAAGGCGGTGCGTGTTGATTTAACACAGTCTAAGTCATTATGTCCGGCTACTAATCTCTGAATCGTTCACTTCCTTGGAAGGAAACTGATCCGCTCTTAATCTAGGTTTCTTGTTACATAGATAAGTTTAATGACCTAAGATCTGTTTAGTTGAGATGTTACTAAAGAGCACTGTGAGATTACGATGATCAAATCAATCGATAATTGGTAATTAATTAATTGATTTTGTAAATAATATCGCAGAATGGTTAATGGAAATGTTGCCTGAAGCTTTGTATTAAAACTGTACAATTTTTACATCATCCTTTTACAACGTCTGCAAAGTTATTTTGTTCAGAGGCAAACAAATAAAAAATAAAGAATTACATCTGATTATATGACAGATTGATCAGTACAAATTTAAATCCTGAGTGTTTCCAATTGTATACGTAATTAAGTGCAGGAGCTGTGTGTGAAAGGAATGAGTTAAATATTTAGTGAATTATAATTAAATTCTGATCAAAGCAAGCTACCTAATAGATCAGAACTAATAATTAACAAAGTACTTAATATAGCTAATTTAATATATGTTCTTACTTGTAATGGTAAGAATGTATTTGGTATCATGTTCTTAGCGATGCTTAAAAGCAGCAGTCAAATATATTTTTTTTTAATTTGTCATTAGTCAATAAACGATTAACCAGAGAATGCACACGTGATTTTATGATAAAGTAAATTTCAGTGAAATTTTAATTGTCTTTAGGTTTGATTATAAATATTGAATTGAAAAATTATACATATCACAGTAAAGCCTTTGTATAACGTTTTTGTTTTGTTTCAGAATCTACCAGCAGATGTCGCTCATCAGCTGAAAGAAAGAAACGACCACGAACGGCATTCACAGCAACTCAGATAAAGGCACTTGAATCCGAATTTGAACGGAGTAAATACTTGTCGGTTTCGAAAAGGATGCAACTTTCTAAAACACTAAAACTAACAGAGACTCAGGTAAACTGGAAAACATATAACTATAACTATCCGATCAGTTTATTAATTGAGGTGACTGAAAATAATTTCAGATTATACAAAATCTGACAATATTTTATAAACATAAATTTTAACTGAATTAACATAGTGTTTAACTTTAGAAGTAACTCACATTAATCGCATCATTAAAACTCTTTAATCGGAGTTGCCAGACTCACGTAAAAATTAGCTTCACGAGAGCTCGCTAACTCATACGTTTTTATTTTTTGTTTATTTGTTGAAGTTCGCGCAAAACTGCACGAGGTTATCTGCACAAGCCGTCTCTAATTTTGAAGTGATAGTCTACTGAACACCACCCTCCGCCAACTACTGAACTATTCTAGTCATTCCAAATAACAGGATTTGTCAATCATTCTTATAACGCACCCACAACCACAAAGTACGGAGCGTAATTTTGTTTCTTTTTGGCGGTAACACGAACCACGGACTCCTCAGATCCACAGTCGGCACACTAACCACTGGGACACACTCGGGCTATCATTATTTGCATAAAACTTTAAAATGTGGTAGTTTTTTTTATCGGAATGAGCTGGTAATACACTTTATAAGCTGGTGAAACACTAGTTTATACAATTCATTATAATAATTGATTCTTTAAGATACGGTATTGCATTGCGGTTGTTAGTTAACAGGCTCGTAGTTATACAATATGTTTTAAAGAACAACTTCAACGTTGTTCTGTGAAACATATTGTATAACTATGAGCCTGATAATTAACAATGAGTGTCGAATTTGTTCTTTAAAACATATTATATAACTACGAACATAATAACTAACAGTGAGTGTCGAAGTTGTTCTTTAAATCATACTGAATAACTATGAGCCTAATAACTAACAATGAGTGTCAAAGTTGTTCTGTAAAACATATTGTATAACTATGAGCTTGATAACTAACAATGAGTGTCGAAGTTGTTCTGTAAAACATATTGTATAACTATGAGCCTAATAACTGGCGTTGGGCTTCGACACTCATTGTTAGTTATCAGGTTCGTAGTTATTCAATATGTTTTACAGAACAACTTCGACACTCATTGTTGGTTATCAGGTTCGTAGTTATACAATATATTTTAAAGAACAATTTCGAAACTCATTGTTAGTTATCAGGCTCATAGTTATACAATATGTTTTACAGAACAACCTGACACTCATTGTTAGTTATTAGGCTCATAGTTATACAATATGTTTTACAGAACAACTTCGACACTCATTGTTAGTTATTAGGCTCATAGTTATACAATATGTTTTAGAGAACAACTGCGACACTCATACTATGCCGTTTCTGGAAATGATTTTGCAATTTCTAGCATGAAAACAAGTTTTTAAAGACAATTAATAGAAAGTTGTTGTATACGTAGAGAAAGCACGCGAGGGAAGGAAGATATTCCACTTGTCAGACTTCATCTCCAAAGTACTGTTCTCTATAATTGTATTATACAGTTCCAATCGTAGGTTTCTCTCCAGATTATCGTTATTTATAGTCACATTTCCAAAACCTACTTGCTAGTTTATCTTCAATGTATTATTCCGTATATTCACCTGTAGAGTTCTACTTTTCAGCCTTTCTATAAAGTACCGTTTTGTAAAGTCAACTTTCCAAAATTTCAATTTATGGTATTAATTTTTTATCACTGTCTAACAGGCCATAAGTTTCCAAGACTCAATCTAACCAATGTACAATCAATCCCAACTAATGTAAACTCTCATGTACAATTGAAGGCTTAACATACATCAACTTCTCTTGAACTAAAACACAATATGGGAGTTACTCGTGACTCTTATAACGTACCCAAACTGCGGAGGACGATTTCGTGGAGGGCGGTAGAGGGGAGAATCATGGAATCTCATATCCACAAACTGGCCAATCTCGATGTTAATAGCTTTGTAATTAATGAAACACGCGGAATAATGGTGTACATAAACCATGTTAGCCTGACGATTTTATTTTACCTCTAAAAGGTTTATTGTGCACCGATAAAAAAAGTCGACTTTTCAATTTCTTACTAAATATCATTGTACATCTTGGTCACTGATCTTCTGACTATAAAATTTTGATAGCTCGCCTCTACAAAAGTGACAAAAAAGGAAATTCTAGTAGTAGTAAGCGTGACGTACTTGCAATTAACTTTAACACGAGATTTATGTTTTGAAAATCTGTCCAGATGTTAGTTTTTATCATCCCACACATAAAAGTGTTTACCAGGTTTCAAGTGTCATATGAGTTGTACATACATCTCTATAAACACAACATTTCGTGATTGATAAGCGCAGTACCAGAAATTAAATAAAAGTAACTTTTAGTGAGCCAGTCCTTCCCAGAGATTCATCTGAACACTTTAAATCTATTATATCTGCCACCGCCATCTTGTGACAACATTATCGGTTTCCATACAAATAATATCTTACGTGGAAACATCTCGAGATGGGTTGTGAACTAATAAAGCTACGTTTATGAACTAGAGTCCTATGGAGGTAATGTATTGGTTATATCAACGATATTGGTTTGATATTTTATAAATAGCTGAAGAAACAACAACAGTACTTTACTTGTAATATTCGTTTAACTTATAAAAGTCATAGCTCTGTTTTGACCAGAAAACCTCGAATACTAAGCAAATGTGTTAGAATAATATATTATATTTAAGAAAATGAATAGACAAAAATGTCGCGAAATATTAAAATAATGAGAACAGTTTCGTTCATTTGATTATGCCAGAAATTGCGACCATGTTATTTGTTTGTGTATATAAACATCACCTTCATATTCCAATATGTTAGCAAACTGGAGACAGACTTAGCTTCTTGATACAGGACAGACGTCTAACTAAAACTGTCACAAAATACCACATTTATAACCAGTTATACATGTGCTGCTCTGGCTAACAATGAGAATCCCTAAACATTCGTATTTATATAAATCAGATATATGACAACCTCATATATAAAAATGCACTCTTTGTTCATTGTTGACACTTCAAGGCTGTTTATGAATACACATTTTTCGTACAGTATTTCCACTATAGTGATCTACAACTACACATTGTTACCACTACTGCTCTATATGAATACACACTATACATATAGTTAGGATTTTAGAAAATTTATCAAATGGTGCATAACGTAATTGTTAAAACACAAAATATTTTCCAGATTTCAAACGTCACGAGTGTTTTATATTCATATAGAATACGGTAAATAATTTTCTTTAAATCTTAAATCAAGAAGGATATAATTATATAAACCTGGGTATACTTTCTATATGCGATTTTTCATCTTTGAACAAGTTAACTAATAGCACCTTATCACATAGCAGTCACCAGCTTGGAGGAGATTTTATTGACTCAACTCCTGCTTATCAGTTTCGTGAACAATACACAGTTTCTGTCTGGAATGGCGTGGATATTCTCCAACAGATATTCAAATATATTTTACGGCTAGTAAGCTCAAAATGAGCACATGTGGGATCAGAGTGAATCTGAGTTACAATGAATCCGGCCTCAAGTGGTTAGATCATAGAAACAAGACCTCTTGTTTGTTACTTCTCTTTAATCAGCTCATCTCTTTGAATTGTTTGTGCAGTAGAAAACTACATTTCAAGAATAAGTATTATTGCGCTCTTCACAGTTAATCTCTGATTATCAATACAACTGTATTTTAATTACGTCTTAACTGTGCTAAGTCCGATTTTCTACTGTTTTGACTTGTGCACAATGAATTCATTATCAGTTGAACTGAAACTATATATATATTTCTATTTGTAGATTAAAATCTGGTTCCAGAACAGGCGGACAAAGTGGAAGCGGAAATATACGAATGACCTAGAAATCATGGCTCAACAATATTACCAGTCCTTAGGAGTTTACACAACTCGTCCAATGTTTATTGGAGATCGTCTGTGGCTATTCGGCTATCCTCCCGGAGTCCCTAATCCACCTAGTAGTTCGATGTACTGTCTAGGACAACTACCGCCTTACTTGCCTTCATGTGCCGGTTCCTTCTCCACCACCCGGCCATCTCCGATCCTGGATCCCTCGGGGTTGAGTCCTATTTCACCGCCGACAAATAGTCTCGGTCCTACAGGACTAAGAGGACCTACTAGTTAGATCATCTTTTCATGATGTTGTTTTCCGGCAAAGTTTGACGAAACAGACTATATTAAGTTTCACGAGTTTGATGTGGATATATCGGTACAACGTGGAGTCTGGAGAGTAATTTGTTGTGAACAGTGATCACATATAAATATTCTTGTACCCGGTTTGTTATTTCTTCAGTCTTCGAAAATGTGACGTCAGCTTAGTATTGAACAAAATTTATTCGACTGGTGAATCATAAAAAAATCAGTTAAAAGTACGACAAACTAGCAGTTTGAACAAAAGTTTGTTTTGTTTTTTTTGGTCTTTTTCTGCGAGAATCTTTTTTCCCTTTCTCGTCAGTAGAAACTTTAAACGTAATAGTGTTTAGTTTATATCTCGCGTTAAATGCCGTGACAACACGGTTACTATCAGCACCCTCCACCCTTCCTTCTCCCCTTTTAGGACAAAGTAGTAAGGTGCCCACTGCTAAAAGCTAGTCGGAATCAATCTTTGTCCTTGTGATTCATTCAACGCTGGCAGGCCTAGTGGACAGACTGGTGAAAAAAAAAACACTGACCAATGATGCCATTTTATCAGCCAAATATATTTGTAATCAAACAATCACTGCATTATCTCTAGCTACGTTAATGTCTTTCACCAGTCATTCTACTGATTGTTATCAAATGATGACACCAAGACATTCCTTATATCCAGCAGCAAATCAGCTAGGATCCCAGGTCTGCTCTCAACTATGGCATGCCAGTAAAAGTGACTAAGTCACTCATCGATCCATTATTAGTTCCCTTACAGATATGTCCATCAATCTGCAATATACAGTATCTATTACATTAAATAATAAGTATGAAATATAAATAATTTAAATAATAATTATAGGTATAATTAAAATAGTCCAAAAAATTATGTATCTCTAATATAACGTGATAATTAAAAAATAGTCCGTCTTCGGAATACTGTGCCTTGATGTTGGAAAAATAAATGATTAACTGACCATCGGTAATATACGCGTTTATACTGAAACTTTAGGGAAGACGTTGCCAAAGGCTATTTTAACTTTGTCAAACAATTGTATATAATAATGTTAACTGCAGGTTTTTCGTTTTTATCATGTTTTATGTTTAAGGTTTGAATTGTTGAATATAAGTGGAATAACACTCTTAAGATTAAGAAATAAAACTAGCGGATCATAACAAAGCTGCTACTGAACTTTTATAGTTTAACAGTTTCCAGATTGTTGCCCAACTTTTATAGTTCAAGTTTCCACGTTGCTGACGAACTTTTATAGGGAAATAGTCAGGCTGTTACCCAACTTTTACAGTTTAATAGTTCCTAGTTGCAACTCAACTTCAACTGTTTCCGAATAAAGAGATGTGTCTATCCAATACAAACTTCCCATTGTTAAAATATCCTTCAGAACGTTAACCATATTACTGATTAAAAAAATTGCCAAACAAACGAAAGAACAGTGACCATTCGCTCTGGAATTTATCTTATTAAACGTCGCAATGGCGAAACGTTGAACAAAATAAATTATGTTTTTTTTGTTTTTTTTGTACTAAGTGTTATTATTATTATTATTTTTTGCAAATGACAAATATTATCCAGTTAGCACTACAAACTATAAACTAAGAAAAAGATAATACCACAAACTTATTAGTGCACAGCTGCGCAATGGGCTATCTTCGCCCCATCCGCAGTGGGGATCAAACGTAAAAGTCACGTGTTATAAGCCTATAAGTTTGCCGCCCGAGGACTGATAATAAGTCTAAAGAGCACATATTTCACCTTTATCCTGTTTTAGAATAATACACCTTAACAAAGTACGACGGGAACAACATGCAGCTAGTCAAGGGACGATGCCTTTCCTTGTATTATAGCCATAAGAAAAGTAATTCATCAAACTGTTTGATAAGGCGTTAGTCTGAGTCATTGTTATTTATTTCTGAATATATTTTCGTATAATATACTAGAAGAAAAAACTTTTTTTTTTGCAACGTTACTTTTGTTACAGCAAATTCATTTTGAAATAATAATGCCACAATTCAAAAACAAAGTATGTATTTTTCTTTATTAGTTTGAAAATTATATTAGGCAATGATATATTTCACTGTACCTTCTTTTCTCCAAAATTTTGAGTAATAAAGTGCTTGATGTTTGACGCAGAAGTTATTGTTAATCCACTTTATTCATACCGTTATTAGAGAAATGGATAATGTTAAAAATAACACCTTATGATAGCTACACATTTGCCACAAAAATATAAATGTTTCTTATAATTTTCATTTTCATCGATAAACTGTTAATAAGAGGGCATTTTCTTATACAACAGCCGGTCTTATGAGTAACAGAAGCAAATAGTTTATTAAGTTTCCCCTGTGATGTCGCGAACTTTCAAGCAGTTTGAAAAAATGTGGTACTTTTAAAATGTGTTATGATTTGAGAAAGTAATTCAATCACTCAAAAAGAAAGTTCTTGAAGCACAAGTACAGCTGTTAATGAAAAAAAGAGATGAGCATTTAGCTTCTAATATAAGAAATCTTATCCTTTACATCTTGGGGTTCTAAACGTTGTTGGTTTCCCAAGCGATCTCACCTCAAACTTTAGATCTAATCTCAAGTAACTTTGTATCACTAAAATTGAAAAAATAAAAAACAAATGAAACGAGACAAAACTATGTAGGAAAATTATGGTATGTATTACTAGCTTCTGCCACTTAAATCCTTATTTTTTGTCTTTGTATGAGCAAAACAGATTAAATCTCCGAGTCTGAAACCACGTAAAAATATTTTAGTATTTATTATTAATTTTTGTCATTTGACTTTTTTATTTCATGACTTTCTATCACCAAAAAACGAGGAAAAGTTTGGTTATTTTAGCACAAAGCTTCAAAATAGGATATAGAAATCTGATTTTAGCGTTGTAAGCCCTCAGATTTACCGCTTAGCCACCTGGAGGCACGAGGCAAAATTACAGAGGAAAGGTTTGGTATGCATTATAACTGTCCATCTTGTCATCAGTAAAAGAAATTACCGAGTGTGAAACTACGTAAAACATTTATTACGCATTCATAAGTTTCAGGAATAATAAGGAAATAACGAATTAATCATATGTAGTTTGATCACTATTACATTTTTCTCTTTACAAAAGCGGAACAAATTGCCTTCAAATTATTATAATGCTGTTTTACGTTGTTGAAACTGTGCATGTTTTGTTTAATTTAGGAATGCTTTACTTTCCCAATACAATGTGTTGACTACAAACTATAACTGTTTCCTTATCGTGTTTCATCTGCCCGAACAGAAAATTTCCACCAAAAAATTTTGTGTACAAGTTCTTCTTTTCTTGCATAAATCTGTAGCGGCATTTTAACAAAATAAATCAACTTCTGTGCATATATGACATAATCTGAACGATATTATTATCATATTTTTTCCTCACACAAGAAAAAGAAAACGTATAAAACTTTTCTTTGTTTCAACATCATTTTGTTGAATAATAAAATTAACCAAGTTGTATCGTTGTTTCAGTAATACAACCTGTAATGAACTCCGTAATTTATCTTCGGCATGAAAACGTTCTACTTCTTGTGTTCATGTTTCACTTCAGAACATAATTTTCTCTTGCGAAAAGTGTTATTGCAAAATTTCCCACCTATGTTTCATAAAATTCCTAGGCTAAAATATTATTATTCAAATAGCATGTTTGTTTGTTCGTTGAAATTCGGGCAAAGCTACTTACTAGAGGGTCATTAACGCTAGCCGTCCCTAATTTTGAAGTGATAGACTACAGAGAAGGCAGCTAGTCAATATTATCTACCGCCAACTCTTGGGCTACTCTTTAACAACAAACAGAGGGATTGATCGTCACAATATAACTCTCTCACGGACTCACAGTATATCTAATTGAAATTATTTCATACTTAAAAAGTATTTTAATTAACTGTTGAATGGCTTCTTGTTGTTTGTTTTTGAATTTCGCGAAAAGCTACACGAGGACTATCTGCGCTAGCCGTCCCTAATTTAGCAGTGTAAGACTAGAGGGAAGGCAGCTACTCATCACCACCCACCGTCAACTCTTGGGCTACTCTTTTACCAAAGAATAGTGGGAATGACCGTCACATTATAACGTCCCCACGGTTGAAAAGGCGAGCATGTTTAGTGGGACGGAGATTCGAACCCGCGACCCTCAGATTACGAGTCGAGCTGTCTAACCACCTGGCCATGCCGGGCCATGGCTTCTTATATTCGTGCAAAAAATCGGTAACAAAAAATATATTTTACTACAGCTGTTTAACGAAACTGTCTATGCCTTTCTCTCTAATTGTAAGGAAATATTTCACTACTAAGTCTGAGATATTTGTTGTTACACATAAGATTAATACAGAATAACTACACTTTAAGTGTTACTTTTCTTTTATTAAAAAAAAGGAAAACTCTGTTTTCAAGAGTTATTATAAAATCCATTGAATGGTTATTTTTTAGGTATGATAAAAAATCATATTCGTCAAATTCTTGAACCTTCATTATTTCCATTTGTTGCTTTTTTTCTGGCTTTTTGCTAAGTTTCACTATCCTTGCAGTTTGTGTAAAAATACAGGGTAAGATCTACAAAGAGAAATCTTTAAATTTCGCATTGCGTTGTTCTGATATGATTTCAGTAAGAAGACGAGAATTAACTTTGATGAATGGTGATTTAATGTTTGTTCCTTAGTATATTCCTATCACAATAAAAGCAGCAACATGTGTCTCAATATTAGCCAGTTACTGGAAGTTCAAGATAATAATCTAAAGCAAACTGTCAAAGTGTTGATAGGAAAACTACGAACCTCAAAACTTACCGGAAATGGAGATACAAGGACAAAAACAAACATTCGGACGTAATTGGTTTGAGACCTATTAGTAGCGGGTCTCTGAAGAAGTCTCTGCTTCCCGAATGAGACGTTTCCCTGAAACGAAGATTAATTACCCCGTCCATTGGGTGTCAGCAGCGTGTCTTTATTTACTTTTATTAGTTCTTATTCAGTTAATCAGTAGCCAATCACAAGGATGCATCACTCACTTTTCGTTTTGAACACGAAAACAATTTCCTGTGTACGGATGTTTAAGATGTGTTTACATTTTATTAGGAATAATCTTTTAGGGACAATGTCATGGAGTTTGGCTTA